TGGGAGGAATCCCTCTTCCCAGTGTTCAAACTTATACCTGCAGTAATCAAGATAGTGGGGTACTGACTAAACACACACCACCAATGGGACAGAGAACCCAGAAATATATCCCACAAATATGTCTAATCAATTTTTAACGAAGGAGCAAATGCAATTCAATTGAGGAGGGATAGTCTTGTCAATAAATGGTGCTGGCCCAATTGGACATCCATAGGTTTAAAGACAAACCTTGACTTAAAACTCAGACAAGGCCGGGCGTGGTGGCTCACGACTGTAATCACAGCACTTTGGGAGACCAAGGCAGGTAGATCACAAGGTCAAGAGATCAAAACCATCCAGGCCAACATGGTGAAACCCCATCTCTACTAAAAATACAAAACAATCAGCTGGGCATGACAGCACACGCCTGTAGTCCCAGCTACTCCAGAGGCTGAGGCGGGAGAATTGCTTGAACCCAGGAGGCAGAGACTGCAGTGAGCCAAGATCGTGCCACTGCACTACAGCCTGGGCAACAATGCAAGACTCCATCTCAAGGAAAAAAAAAAAAACTCAAATACAAGAAATAACTCAAGGCCTGGCACAGTGGCTCACACCTGCAATCTTAACATTTTAAGAAGCCAACGCAAGAGAATCACTTGAGGCCAGGAATTCAAGACCAGCCTGGGCAACATAGCAAGACCCTGATTCTACAAAAAAAAAAAAAAAAATTTTTAACTTAGCTGGTATGGTATTACATGCCTGTAGTCCCAGCTACTCAGGAGACTGAGGCAGGAGGATCACTTGAGCGCAGGAGTTTGAGGCTACAGTGATCTCTGGTCATGCCACTGCACGCCAGCCTGGGTGACAGAGTGAAACCTTGTCTCAAAGAAAAAGACGAAAGAAACATAACTCAAAATAGATCCTTGTCTAAAAAGTAAAACTAAAAAAAAATAAAATAAAAAATAGGAAAACCAATCTTTGGACTCTTCGGAATTACTGCACCTAAGCAATAAGTTCTTAGACTTGACACTCAAAGCACAATCTATAAAAGAAAAAAACTGGCCAGGCACGGTGGCTCACACCAGTAATCTCAGCACTTTAGGAGGCCAAATGGGTGGATCACCTGAGGTCAGGAGTTCGAGACCAGCCTGGCCAACATGGTGAAACCCCATCCTTACAAAAAATACAAAAAACTAGGCTGGGCATCGTGGCATGCACCTGTAGTTCTAGTTACTTGGAAGACTGAGGCAGGAAGATCACTCAAACCCAGGAGATGGAGACTGCAGTAAGCCGAGATTGAACCATTGTACTCCAGCTTCGGCAACAAGAGCAAAACTCTGTCTAAAAAAAAAAAGAAGGGTGGCCAGGCATGGTGGCTCACCCCTGTAATCCCAGCTCTTTATCTCCAAAAAAAAAAATAGATAGAAATTATAAACTGGACTAAGACAAAATATTTGCAAACCACATATCCAACAAAGTCTTTATAATATATAAAGAACTGTCAAAGCTCAACATTTAAAAAAACAAACAAGTCAATTAGAAAATAAGCAAAAGGTATGCACAGACATCACACTGAAGAAGATACACAGATGGCAAATAAATACATGAAAAGACGTACAACATTCTCATCATTAGAGAAATTAAGTTGGAACCACAGTAAGATATCACTATACATCAACAAGACCACACCCTGTCATAGGCAGGGGCATGTGGAAGCTTTAACAGGAGGGCCTTGGACCACTGTATATGAGGAGCAGGTGTGTAGGGAGACCCACTGAAAGGTGGCCAGGAACGGACAGGCTGCATTGAGGAGGCAGCCTCTGGGAGGGCTTGGGCAGCCACACTGCTTGCAGGATGCAAGGACTTCCCTCCAAGGCCCTTCCTGAGTCCCTGCCACATTTCCTGAGACCGTGTCACATCAAAAAAGGTCCTTCCTAAGACCCTGCCACACTCCCTGGGACCCTGCCACACATCCTGAGATCCTGCCACACTCCCCGAGACCCTGTCATGTCCCCCAAGGCCCTTCCTGAGACTCTGCCACACTTCCTGAGACCCTGTCACATCCAACAAGGCCCTTCCTAAGACCCCACCACACTCCC